CGGACGAGTCCGTAGAGCCGAGTGGTCCTTACCTAGAGCTAGTTGGCTGCCTCATGTACCTGATGACTTGCACTTGTCCTGACCACAGCTCCCGGCGAGGAGCACCCTGGTCGAAGGACCCCTCCGTCGACCAGCACTGTCAGCTGCTTCTCTTGGTGGACGGCCCGTCCGCCGACCAGCCCAGTCCGCGGTATCCGTCGAGCTCTCCTGGTCGACGGCTGTAGCTTCGCGACCGTCCTGTGCAAGTCAACGACCACCTCGTCGACCTGCCCCGCAGAAGAAGGTCGTCAAGCTCCCCTGATCAACGGCAGAACCGAAGCCTATCGAGCAGCTCCCTCACTACGTACGGTCGGTTGCTTCTCCCATACATTCGACGCGGTCGTCGGCTCGCCCAAGCGAGGGGAGGGGCCAACACTTTATTCCCAATCCATGATGCTGGGCGAGGCCAATTGGAGTGCCTCGTGCACACCATCGAGAACCTCGAGTGCTGCGCATACGACCTCCGCGACGTCATGGTGCGCGTTCCTGGCGCGCTCTTGTTCGGGCGGCAATTCATCTCGTCTCCCGTTACGCAGGTAGAGGGTATCTCGAGCGGCGGGGCGACGAGGTACAAGGGGCATGAGAAGAAGCTGGAGAGCTTCATAAAGATTTTTGTGATCGAGCTCGGGGAGGCGTCAAGGTTATACCCGGTGGCGAAGCAGGAGCTGTACGTGCAGAAGTGACAGGGAGCAGGCAGCAGTGGCTGCATGGGTGGAAGTGAGGGAAAACGGATATCTATTGGGTTGGTTAGGGCAGATGGACCCCTGGCTTGCTCGTACTGGGCTGGGTAAAGGGCAGGCCGGCAGTGGGTGTAGCGGCAAGATTGGTTGCCGTGATGCATGCATTGCAAGGAGGGATAGTATGGATGGAGGCCATTTAGATTAAGAATGCTCCCTTCTATGTTCATCAATGGAGTAACATACAGCAATTGAGCAACTATGAGAGGTTTGATAGGCACGGAGAGACGGAAGCTAGATGGGCTGTGGAAGCATCTTCATGCTTGGTCTGCAGTTATGCCCTCATTCCATACGGTGGTGACTTATCAATGGTGGAAGTGTTAAACACATGGGGATATGTTGATCCAATTTGCGTGGTAGACATCGCAGCAACGATACGTTTGTCATCCACTTTGAGTAACGTTGTACGACACAAGTAAAACGAGATTATTGCAACAGTCTACCGAACCCCCCCACCCCCTTCCTCCTGATTCCTTGCGCGATCGCACATCCACCCTCGGTGTTGCAAGGCATCATCAATTACTGGCACGAGGTCCATTTACAAGCCAAGTCTCATGACTAGTAACCATTTAAGAAGGCCTTTTCCTCCTTCTCACAACTTCCATGCCTATTCCGGCACCAGCGCAGTTTCTCGTCGGCACCATACTAGTTCTGGGCAGGGCCTCAGATTCACTTTTAGGGTCGTCGACCCATCAGGGTACCCTTATGTAGAAACCCTGATTGACAGTGTTCCTTAAAAAAAAAGCCTGAAATATCAGTGTTGCCTTTTAAAAAAGGCTGATGCATCAGTGTTCAATAATATAAAAGGCTGTTATTACTAGAAATCTCTATTTTAATTAATAGGTCAGTAGCGGCCTTCCGAAACATTGCTAAGCTAACATGCCTCATGAATCATCACCAGCCGTGCTATCATCACTGCCCTTAGCCTTTGGTTTTTCTCTCTCATCCTCAGCTTGGGACACCAGTACGTGACAGTACTCTGCTGCAGCACACACCCCGTCTTCACTTCTGCTTGCGACACATACACGTTGAAGCTGCAGGGGCAGGGTTTGGGGGAGGAACCTTATTGACAGGCAGGGTGAGGCAGGGAAAGAGAGAACAAGAGGGAGAGAGGAGGGAAGACTGGCATGGTTGGGGGGGGAACGACCGGGGGAGACAGGGAGTGGACGGAGTGCGGGGTAAAGGGAGTGGGGGAATGGACGGTGGGCGCGCGGGTCATGCGCGGGTCATGCCGTCGCGCAGCACGACGCTATGCGCGCCGCCCGCGACGCAGATGGCCTTTCAACCGCGGTTCGTGCTGGCGACGAGGCAGCCTTCGGTCGTCGCCATTAGCACGAAAAACCACGCGTCGTCGAGTCGTAGCGGGCCTGCGACGCCGACGGGCATCTCGCAGGCCCGCTACGATTCGACGACGCATGCGCTGCGGATCGCGTCGAACGGGAGCGATGTGTTCGGCGAGACTAGAGGAGGTTCGGCGCCGCTCGCGATGGGTTCGATTCCAGACAGCCCGCCGTTTCTGGTGCTGGTGGCGCCATGTAATAGTGCAGACGAGAAAGCACGAGAGGAATCTGGCTGAGAGGGAGGGAGAGCGAAACAGGAGGAAAAGAAACAAGAGAGATTAGATTGGAGGGAACGGGACCATCAGAGCTCGCCAGCACAGTCAACGGTGCAGGAACCCTCGCAGCCCTCCAGCACCACATGGTTGCCACATTCTGATTAGCCAACGCTTATGCTGCAGCGAAACTGCCCAATGGAGTGCTGGCACCGCAGGAATCTGAGATTCCCGGTAATTGCGGGCAAATTCACACGGAACAAGTCAGAATTGCATTCAGTGGTAGTTTCATTACAACGTTGTGGAATCAGTGTACTTGGGAAAAAAAGTCTGAAATTTCAGTGTGGCCTAACAAAAAAGGCTAAAAGATCAGTCCCACAAAAATCCCAACACTGATTTTTCAGTGTAGGTAAAAAAACGACTGCCAAAATCAGGAATTTCAGGGTTTTTTTCCTGATATCTGAGGCCCTGGTTCTGGGGTGCTACCCTGTAGTGCCGGCTCTGGGGGGTGTTGGATGCTGATGCTAGAAGTGCTGATTTTTGGTGTTGCCGCGGGAAGTACTGGTCTTGGGGGTGCCACGAGCGCGTGATGTCGTGCGCCGCAGCAGCCGCAGCCGTTGCCGCAGCAGCAGCTGTTGCCGCAGTAGCATCAGTTGCCGCAGCAGCAGCCATTGCCACAGCAGCAGTCGCTGCCGCCACCGCCGCCTGTATCTGCTCTTTGCCTTCTTGGATTTTCTTCTGCCGCGGGCGCGTGACGTCCGGCACCGCAGCAGCCGCAGGTGTTGCCACATTTGTAGCCGTCATCGCCGTCGCCGTCTATATTTGCACTTTTTCTTCTCGGTCTTTCTTTAGTCGCGGGCATGGGACATCCGACGTCGCAGCGGTCGAGACGTTGCAGGTGCCGCCTGTGTCTGCACTTTGCCTTCTTAGTCTTTCCTCTGTCTCGCTTGACCGACCACCGGCTCCTCCCCCACCGTCTCTCCCAGTTTGTGGTCCCATGTTTTCTCCCCGGGTCTCGTCTTTGGCTCTTCTTCCCCCTGCGTTCACAGCTCTCTTCCTTTGTCTCTTGACGCGACTCCTCCCTCCCACGACTGGGTCCGTCGTCCCTCTCCTGCTTGCTCAGTGTCTCCCATTCCTAGCGTCCTCTCTATGCTCCTCCGTTTTCGCGTCTCTCGTGCTCTGCCACCCGCTGCTTTCCTGTCACCTCCTCCATCGCCCCTTGCTGTCTCCTCTCTGTTCTCTGGCTTTCTCTAGGCCGCTCCCTTTACAGTCTCATGTGTCCTTTCCTCCCTCGTTACCGACCCCACTGCTCCTCCGCCCATCCTTGCTCTTGTCGTTGCTGTAGCTAACTTTGCCTCTATCCGCTGCCTTGACTACGCCTCTAAGTTGGTCTATGTAGGCAAAAGAGAGATTCAGTAAGTATAGAAGCCAAAGAGCGTTATTGGGGGATGGATTCCGAAGAGCGTTATTGGGGGATGGATTCCGAAGAGCGTTATTGGGGGATGGATTCCGAAGAGCGTTATTGGGGGATGGATTCCGAAGAGCGTTATTGGGGGATGGATTCCGAAGAGCGTTATTGGGGGATGGATTCCGAAGAGCGTTATTGGGGGATGGATTCCTAAGAGCGTTAGGCTCTCACATATATGACATGTAAATCCATAATTGGTGTTAAGGGTAGGAGGGGTGAAACCAAGAAGATAAAAACATTGCCTCAGCAGAGGATTGAACTCTGGACCTTTCGCTTACGAAGCGAACGCACTACCACTGTGCTACTAGGGCTGGTACGGTAATAATTTTTTTTTTACCGCTGATTTAAACAATTTATAACACTTCTTTATCAACAGTGATCTAGCTTGAAAGCGTGAATGGTAAGAAGCTTCGTCAAAACAGTAGCGAGCTCATAAGCCAATTCACTTTCGCGACAAATAGCCCGTAGAAACTTGGTCGAAAGTTGGGCGTGCTGATCTCACATGCCCTTCACAAGCAATGAACTGGCTTGCCATGATATCTCACGATTTATTTTACTTTGAGGCTAAGAATAAAAAACGACTGCTCATTCCCACATGCCTAAAATTATTGCGGGGCGAAGAGGCCAGCAACAAAGAGGCAGAGGAATAGCGCCCAGACAGGGACGGAGTCGAACGGCAGAGTGAGGAGCGAGAGCACTGAGGACAGCAGCGGCTGCGGCGGTGCTCCGTGCCTTGCCACTGGCCACGTGGGGTCTGTTACCTGCCGACAGGAGTGTGAGTGAAGCAATGAGGATGGAAGGAAGCAGGGAGGGATTGGGTGTAGTGAGAGCACTGAGGACAGCAGTGGCTCCAGTGGTGCTTTGTGCCTTGCCACTTTCCATGTGGGGTCTGTTACCTGTCAGAGGGAGTGTGGGTGAGGCAATGGAGATGGAAGGAGGAAAGTGGGTGAGGCAATGGAGATGGAAGGAGGAGTGTGGGTGAGGCAATGGAGATGGAAGGAGTGTGGGTGAGGCAATGGAGATGGAAGGAGGAGTGTGGGTGAGGCAATGGAGATGGAAGGAGTGTGGGTGAGGCAATGGAGATGGAAGGAGGAGTGTGGGTGAGGCAATGGAGATGGAAGGAGGAGTGTGGGTGAGGCAATGGAGATGGAAGGAGGAGTGTGGGTGAGGCAATGGAGATGGAAGGAGGAGTGTGGGTGAGGCAATGGAGATGGAAGGAGGAGTGTGGGTGAGGCAATGGAGATGGAAGGAGGAGTGTGGGTGAGGCAATGGAGCAGAGAGAGGCTGGAAGGCAGTGGCTGCGGTGGTGCTCTGTACCTTGCCACTGGTCATGCGGGGCCTGTCACCTGTCAGGCGAGTGTGAGATAATGGGGATGGAGGTGGGGAAATGGGGATGGAGGTGGGGAAATGGGGATGGAGGTGGGGAAATGGGGATGGAGGTGGGGAAATGAGGATGGAGGTGGGGAAATGAGGATGGAGGTGGGGAAATGGGGATGGAGGTGGGGAAATGGGGATGGAGGTGGGGAAATGGGGATGGAGGTGGGGAAATGGGGATGGAGGTGGGGAAATGGGGATGGAGGTGGGGAAATGAGGATGGAGGTGGGGAAATGGGGATGGAGGTGGGGAAATGGGGATGGAGGTGGGGAAATGGGGATGGAGGTGGGAAAATGGGGATGGAGGTGGGAAAATGGGGATGGAGGTGGGGAAATGGGGGTGGAGGTGGGGAAATTGGGATGGAAGTGGGGAAATGGGGATGGAGGTGGGAAAATGGGGATGGAGGTGGGGAATGGGGATGGAGGTGGGGAAATGGGGATGGAGGTGGGGAAATGGGGATGGAGGTGGGGAAATGGGGATGGAGGTGGGGAAATGGGGATGGAGGTGGGGAAATGGGGATGGAGGTGGGAAAATGGGGATGGAGGTGGGAAAATGGGGATGGAGGTGGGGAAATGGGGGTGGAGGTGGGGAAATTGGGATGGAAGTGGGGAAATGGGGATGGAGGTGGGAAAATGGGGATGGAGGTGGGGAATGGGGATGGAGGTGGGGAAATGGGGATGGAGGTGGGGAAATGGGGATGGAGGTGGGGAAATGGGGATGGAGGTGGGGAAATGGGGATGGAGGTGGGGAATTGGGGTTGGAGGTGGGAATTTGGGGATGGAGGTGGGGAAATGGGGATGGAGGTGGGGAAATGAGGATGGAGGTGGGGAAATGGGGATGGAGGTGGGGAAATGGGGATGGAGGTGGGGAAATGGGGATGGAGGTGGGAAAATGGGGATGGAGGTGGGAAAATGGGGATGGAGGTGGGGAAATGGGGGTGGAGGTGGGGAAATTGGGATGGAAGTGGGGAAATGGGGATGGAGGTGGGAAAATGGGGATGGAGGTGGGGAATGGGGATGGAGGTGGGGAAATGGGGATGGAGGTGGGGAAATGGGGATGGAGGTGGGAAAATGGGGATGGAGGTGGGGAATGGGGATGGAGGTGGGGAAATGGGGATGGAGGTGGGGAAATGGGGATGGAGGTGGGAAAATGGGGATGGAGGTGGGGAATGGGGATGGAGGTGGGGAAATGGGGATGGAGGTGGGGAAATGGGGATGGAGGTGGGGAAATGGGGATGGAGGTGGGGAATTGGGGTTGGAGGTGGGAATTTGGGGATGGAGGTGGGGAAATGGGGATGGAGGTGGGGAAATGAGGATGGAGGTGGGGAAATGGGGATGGAGGTGGGGAAATGGGGATGGAGGTGGGGAAATGGGGATGGAGGTGGGGAATGGGGATGGAGGTGGGGAAATGGGGATGGAGGTGGGGAATGGGGATGGAGGTGGGGAAATGGGGATGGAGGTGGGGAAATGGGGATGGAGGTGGGGAAATGGGGATGGAAGGAAGCACGGAGAGACTGAGAAGGAAGAGCGCTGGGAGGAAGGCAGCTGCTGTGGTGATGTGATGCTCCACGCCTTGCCACCACCCCCACACGTGATGTGATGCTCCACGCCTTGCCACCACCCCCACACGTGATGTGATGCTCAACGCCTTGCCACCACCCCCACACGTGATGTGATGCTCCACGCCTTGCCACCACTCCCACAAATGAGAAATGAGTAGATCCGGATTCCCAAGAGTGAGAAAGCTGTTGGGAAAGGATTAGTAAGAGTTAGTGAGGGTTTGTCCTAAACCATAGCCTGAATGAGACTTGTCAAAAATCGCAACGAGCGCCAATCACCCTGTGTTTCTTCACTTCCCATGGCAGGGAAAAGCCACCCCTGGTCGTTATCAGCTCATGTGATTGGCGTTTTAACTCATATTTTCCCTGCTGGTCCCTTTAATCCACCACCTGCTACCTGTCACCGCTGCTGCTCCATCTCCTCTGCTTACGATTGTAGTTACTATCGCCCTACCTTGACTGGCGGTTTCCTGGGCACAGACTGCATGTGCCACGCGTTGGGGAAAAGAAATCGAGGCACCCAGCTGATGGGCGGGTGTGGCAGGCGCGAGGGGTGGGAGGGGTGGCGATGGGAGAAGTGGGGGGGGATACAGACGGTGGAAGGGAGGGAGACTAAGTGAAAGAAGGGAATTGCCGGGTTGGGGACGTGAGGGCTGACTGAGTCGACTAAAAGAAAAAAAGTTAAACGATGGTGAGGACAGGAGGGGTCAAGCAGAAAAGCATGTGGTTTATAGCAGGGAAGGGGTCCAGTGGTCCCCTTTCCCAACCTTCTCACCTCACTCTCCCTCCACGACCCTCACCTCTCTCGCCCTGAAGCGGATCGAATGCCGCACTGGTCCAGAGTGGAGCGTTCATCAAGCTGTCAGAGGAAAAGATAGGTGCAAAGCGGTGGAGAGTGGTTGAGAGCAATGTGGTGTGATGAATAGAGGAGCGCATCGAATGCCGCACTGATCCAGAGTGGAGCGCTCATCCAGCCGAAAACGGCAGGCATGGAAGGGAGGAGCAAAGCGGTGGAGAGTGGTTGTGATGTGATGACCAGAGGAGCACATCAAATGCCACACTGCCCAAGAGTGGAGCGCTCATCCAGCTGCAAAAGGCACACAGCGAGAGGGTGCACAGCGGTGGGGACTGATTTGAAGTGGTTCAAGGAGTGGTGACAGAGTGTGGAACCGGATCGAGCAGCATGTATGGAATCCTAGTCATACGAACTGGTAGAAGGGTAAAAAGAGGTTGAGAAATGAACAGCGAGTTGCGGAGAGGATGATCAGCCATTCAACTGAGGAAAAAACTAGGGAAAGAACAGCACCGGGTAGTGAAGAGGGTGTGGTCGTTCAAGCAAGAGGGCTGGTGCTCATTCCATTCCACAAGCTAGTCATCCACTTGTGCTCGAGTACTTTCACACATTGGATTGGAGAAATCCGGCAATCCACGGTCGAATTTCCCAACTTTCAGCAGTTCAAATCGAATATCCAACCAGCGCGGTCAATGTTGCACTGGTTTTTCCGCGAGCACTTAGGTGTTTGCGTAACAGCTAAAAAATCCCGAACATGTTCGATGTTTGGGATTTTTTGCCAAAGAATGCGCAAACGCTGAACATGTTTAATCAAGACGAGCATCGAACATATTCAGCCGAACATTTTTGGCAAAAAAAAAAAAAAAATCTGTTCTGTTCTGTTCGTCTTGAACTTAGTGTTTTTGCTCATGTCTACACACAGCTAGTGTTCTTACCTCCACCCCATTGAACACCAGCGATGCCACCCCCCCTGCTGCCAGCGCCACGCCCTGATCCCTCAGCACCTTCATATCCACCCACCTCTAATATACTGCACCGCACTGAACCGCACTCAACCAGCTTTGAGTGCTCTTACCTCCACCCCGTTAAACACAAGCGATGCAGTCCCCCCTGCTGCCAGCGCCACGCCCTGATCCCGCAGCACCTCCTGCGCCACCCCCGCTGCCGTCTCCTCCTGCCAACACCACCTGCTGTTGCCTTCATAACCACCACACTGCACCGCACTCCACCAGCCAAAGCTCTTACCTCCACCCCATTGAACACCAGCAATGCAGTCCCCCCTGCTGCCAGCGCCACGCCGTGATCCCGCAGCACCTGCTGCACCACCCCCCCTGCCGTTTCCTCCACCACTGTCGCATTACCCAGTATCTAAATATCCACCCACTGCACCGCACTCAACCAGCGAATGCTCTTACCTCCACCCCATTGAACACCAGCGATGCAGTCCCCCCTGCGCCCAGCGCCACGCCCTGATCTCGTAGCACCTGTTGCGCCACCCCCCCTGCCGTCTCCTCCCGCCCCGCACTCACTCGCACCAGCTCACACACCCGGCTGGGATCAAGGAAAGGAAGTTGGAAGAGAAACGAGGAAGGGGAGAGTGGGATGGAGGGATGGGGTTGGTGGAACAGGGGGTGAAGATGCAAAGAGCAAGAGCGAAGGAAGGTGAGCGCTGGGTTGACATTACAGGCCTTTTCAGGTCTCAAACTCACTCACGCTAGCTCAGATGCTTGGCTGGGAGAGGGGAGTTAGTGGGGAGAGTAGAGGGTGCCTCGCCCGACACAAGGGGTTTGAAGAGGGAGGCGGGATGGAGAGAGGAGTGAACGGCAGTGAATGGAGGTGAGTGCTGATCGACATTACAGAATTTCTGGGGAGGGAGTGGGGAGAGAGAGGGTTGGATTGGATCTTGAAGAGGGTGGTGAAGGATTGGAGAGAGCGACAGCGAAGGGAGGTGAGTGTTGAGTCAACCTGTCAGGCAAGTCACATCGATTTGAAATTCGTCCTCTCGAGCAAGAAAGGAAAGAAGAGATGGGAGGGGGACGGGAAAGGGAGGCAGGGTGAGAGGGAGTAGCGAAAGGGGGTGAGGGTTGAGAAGATATTACAAGGTTTCTGCTGTTACCTTCCCGCATCTCCTTGCCATGCGTCCCATCACCTACCGCCTCTCTTTCTTGTCCATGTCGCCACTCACTAGTCCCTGTCGCCACTCACTAGTCCCTGTCGCCACTCACTAGTCCCTGTCGCCACTCACTAGTCCCTGTCGCCACTCACTAGTCCCTGTCGCCACTCACTAGTCCCTGTCGCCACTCACTAGTCCCTGTCGCCACTCACTAGTCCCTGTCGCCACTCACTAGTCCCTGTCGCCACTCACTAGTCCCTGTCGCCACTCACTAGTCCCTGTCGCCACTCACTAGTCCATGTCGCCACTCACTAGCCCCTGTCGCCACTCACTAGCCCCTGTCGCCACTCACTAGCCCCTGTCGCCACTCACTAGCCCCTGTCGCCGCCCCCAAGTCGTGTCTCCTCGTCCACCTCACCCCCTCTCACTTGCTCGCCATCAACAGTACCCTCCCCACCTATAATCAAAGACGACTCAAACACACTCCCCCCTCTTCGTTACCATCCTGAACAGCCAAGCCAACCATAAGCTAAGACTCACGAATGTACCAGCATAAGTTGCTACAATACATGTACAAGGCTGAATACAACTTCCTACCAAATCTCTAACCCTAGCGCTATCCCTACCGTGTCCCCCATCTTCCCCACCGTACCTGTGCGCCATCTGCATCAGCACCTCCACCTCCTGCCAGGCCGAATCAGATTCCTACCCATCATCGCCTTGCACTTGCCCCTTGCGCCATCGCCTTGCACTTGCCCCTTGCGCCATCGCCTTGCACTTGCCCCTTGCGCCATCGCCTTGCACTTGCCCCTTGCGCCATCGCCTTGCACTTGCCCCTTGCGCCATCGCCTTGCACTTGCCCCTTGCGCCATCGCCTTGCACTTGCCCCTTGCGCCATCGCCTTGCACTTGCCCCTTGCGCCATCGCCTTGAGCACTTACCACCCTCAGCCGCTTCACGTCTCGCCCTGCCCGGCTCCCCATCCCCTCCCCACTGCACCTGACCGCCGTCACCAGCAGCACTTCCACCTCCTATTACTATTACCCTGAATAGCTTACACGAACCCAACGCCTTGCACTTGCCCCTTGCGCCATCGCCTTGAGCAGTTACTTCCCTCAGCCGCTTCACATTTATTAACCCTACCCGGCTCCCCCACCCGTGCCGCACCTGTCCGCCACCAGCAGCAGCACTTCCACTTCATACAATCATTACCCTGCATTGCTTACACAAACCCTAACCCGATATCGAATCCTAACCCTGACACTAATCCGAGGGCTAGCACTACCAGCTACCCCACCCCCCCACCTGTCCGCCATCAGCAGCAGCACTTCCACTTCCTATGATTATTACCGTAAATTGCTTACACAAATCCTAACCCGAGATCTAACCCTAACCCTGACCCTAACGCGAGGTCGACGGCTAGCCCTAGTACCCGGCTCCCCACCCCATCGCACCTGTCCGCCATCAGCAGCAGCACTTCCACCTCCTGCGCGCCCGAATCGCCCGCCATCACCTTGCGCCTTTGAGCCTTGCGCCTTGCGCCTTGCGACTTGCTCCTTGCGCCTTGCACCGTGCGGATTCCGCCTTACGCCTTGCGTGCTGCCGCTTTGACCCGCCGTCAGCCCCCAACCTGCCTTCCGCTTGCTTCGGCACGCCCTGTACCTCTCGTCGTGCCTCCTCCCCCGTACGGCCCACACCAGCCCCTTCACCAACACGGCTCACCAACTGCCGTTCAATCCTGTCAACCTCTCCGCTCCCACTCTCTCTCGCCTCCTCTCCGCTCCCACTCTCTCTCGCCTCCTCTCCGCTCCCACTCTCTCTCGCCTCCCGGCGCACTCGCCCGCCGCTATTGTTCCTTCCCTCACGCCGCGGCGCCCCACCTGCCTCACCCTTCGATGATTCGCCACGCGCTGATTGGCTGCGACGAAGCTGACACGGATAGGCCCTGGTTGTCGTTTGTGACAGTATCGGACGGGGCTCAAACTTGTGTTCACAGCGACGAGACGATGATGGCATTCACTGCCCTGTCCTTGAGTTCGAGTTGCATTCAGAATCCTCGGTGGTAACGGAACCGTTTGCAGAAGGCGATCTTCTAAGGCTGTTATAAAACGCGTAACACCTAACCTTGTGATATGCATATAGTTAAAAAAGTAACGCTTAATTTACTTAACGACCCTCGTCGCGCCTTCTGAAAATTGATTAGTGTAAAAAAAAAAAAAAAAAACTGAGCGCCGCATTGGCTTGGTCATGGAGATCGGCAGAACCTCCATGACCCATAGTGCGTTCCATTTTCTATGGCCCTATGCGGTTCGCTATGGCACCTACCAGCTAAACCTCTGGCCTCGTGTCTCACAACTAGGGGATTCGCTGACCAGTCTTTGGACCGGGTCCCCTAGTGTTGTATTGGAGTTTCGAGTCTGAGGCAGCCTTGCGCTTGTCCGCGATACTTCTGCGGACAAGCTATCGGCTCGTGCCATCCCCTATGCCTTCGATGGTTTCCCGGTGGACTCTCCTGAGTTTGAGTTTTACCACCCGCCGTTCTACCGGCTCCTAGACTCTCGTGACGTCCGGTTTGACGAGTAAGTGTCCTACTATACCCGCTACCCCTGTCGAGGTCTCCCGGTTCCTCCCCCTCCTCTTTTCCTCGCCCCTCCTCTTTTCCTCGCCCCTCCTTTTTTCCTCGCCCCCACTCCTCCTCCTGCTCCCGTTCCTGCGGTAACCCAGCCCCCCCCCAGGTCCTGCCCCGTCAAGTGTGTCTCACGCTACTCCTCTCCCCTCGGTAGCTCGTCAGTGTCGTCTCCCTCCCCACAGTTCTCCTCACAGTCCTCCTCACAGTCACCTCAGCAACCTTCGGCACAATTGCGATAGACTGCAGTGGACTCACGGGGTGTCGGAGCTGGAGGTGTTGGCACTTGAGGTGCTCGTTTTGGGGGTGCTCGTCTTGGGGGTGCTATAGTTGGAGGTGCTGGCACTGGAGGTGCTATTCCGGGGGGTGCAGGAGCTGGAGGTGTTGGCACAAGGGGTGCTAGTTTGGGGGGTGCTAAAGTGGTGGTTACTGACCCTGGAGGTCGTGGTTCTGGGGGTGGTGGCATCGGGAATTTTGGGGCTCCCGCGATCGGTTGGGAAACCACTTGCTGGCGAGTGGTTTTCGGGTCCAGACATTTGCCTGGTTTTGGCGATTGGTTTTCTATCCTAGTGGCATCTAGCGCCCGGTTGGTTTTCGGTTGGGCGAATGAATGCCTGCCAAGCCTGCACTGTCAGAATGTTGTATTTGTCTAGCCTGCAGTGGGGTACTCTATAGCAAGTACAACCCAATTTAGGGTTTCCTATATGTACTCAACTGCTTGCTAGTGCATCCCTCTTTTCTGCTTCTAAACTTTTCCTCATGATTCTGACATGGTATCAGAGTGTGTCCTTCCTTGGCCTATGGGCCCACCAACCTGCTTCCGCTGCTACTTGATCTGTCGCACGCCCCGTGGCGTGCGACCTATTCTACTCTCTGGCGCGCGGCCCCTTTCCTTCCTAGCGCGCCGCCCCCGCTATTTCGTCGCGGCACCCTAGGGAGCCGCTCGCGCCCCCCGCCCGTCCATTGCGACGCCCTGGGGTGTCGCGCGCGGCCCCTGCCGTACTGCCGCGGCGCCCGGGCAAAGCGCGCGCGGCCCCTGCCGTCACGTCGCGGCGCTCTGGGGAGCCGCATGCTACCCCCCGCTACCTCGTCGCGGCGCCCAGGGGAGCCGCGCGCGGCCCCTCGCTGCCCCGTGGTGGCGCCCTGGGGGCCGCGCACCGTCCCCCTAGCCGTCCCCCGCACTCCTACCCCCTGCAACCCGTTTTAGGGTTTGGGGGTGGGGAGTGTAGGGTTGGCGGTTGTGGGGGTGCCGGTTGTGTGCGCCGTCCCCTACTCCTCCTCCTCTTCCGTCTCCCGCTGTTGCAGCAGCCGCTCAGGGGGGTGGGTGTGTGGGAGCCGAAGGAGTGGTGCTAGGGGGGTGTCGTGGGAGTGGAGCTAGGGGTGCAGCAGGGGGTGTGTGATAAGGGCGTGGGGCAGCTGGGGGAGGTTGAGTGGAGGCAGCTGTCATGTCGTCAGCAGCGCCAGTAGTCCGGAGGCTACAATCTTCGGTAGTTGCCAGTCGCCTGTGGGTCAGTTGCTCCAGTCAGGAGGCTACAATCTCCGCGGAGCCAGTTACTCCTATAGTCCGGGCCCTTGCTTCGGTAGCCACTGAGCCAGCAGCTCCTGTGTGTCTCCAGCTTCAGCAGACGCATCCATCTTCTCGCCCCCACAGTCTCTCCTCCTCCTCACTTGCCCCCTGTGATAGCCTCTAGCTTTGCTTGCAATTGTGAACTTGCTCTATGACTGCGTGCTCTGCTGATTACACCCCAATTTGGCTATGGGGGTGTGTCAGAATGTTGTATTTGTCTAGCCCGCAGTGGGGTACTCTATAGCGAGTACTGTGGAAAGTAGAACGAGAATGAATGAACTATGAATGAAGTGAGTACATATAGGAAACCCTACTTGTGTTGTACCCCCTATGGGATACCCCACTACAGCCTAAACAATAGCATAAGCTATATATATATGTTCTGACACACCCCCATAGGCAAAGTGGGGGAGAACAAGGGGTCACAAGACCAGTCAAGCAAAACAAAGCAAAGCTCAGGGTGGATCACAAAGTCACCACACAGTCCGAGCACAAGAGCAAGGCCAAAGGCAAGTTCACATGCAGGAGTACAGACATATATATATAAAGCTAGACAAGCAAGAGCAGGTATATATATGTGACAGTACAAGTAAGGTCAAGAGGAGAGCAAGTGAGGCAAAACAGGTACAAGACCCAGCTGGGTGCAGAAGCGCCGATGGTCACAAGGCGCGAGTGCCTTGGTGAACACATCAGCAGTGTTGGCCTTAGAGGCCACGTACGCAAGCCGCAACTGTCCACGCTGCTGTAGCTCACGAGCAAGGAAGTAGCGAAGAGCAATGTGCTTCGTTCTGTGCTCCAGACGCTGCTCTCGACACAAGGCCAGCATGGCCTTGTTGTCTACGTACAGCACTGGAGGAGAACGAGGCGGCTCTCCAAGGTCAGTCAGCAGGTAGGTGAGCCAGCGAAGCTCCTGTGCAGCCATGGCCCCTGCGTAGATCTCAGCCTCACAACTGGAGCTGAGAACCGAAGACGAGCGAGTAGCCCGCCACGAGACAGAGCTGGAACCAAGGCTGAAGGTGTAACCCTGTGACGACCGCTGCGTAGCCTGGTCGTCAGCCCAAGAAGCGTCCGCGTGACCTATAAGGACCATTGGACTCCGCCCTCCAAGCACTAGCCCCATGCCCGACGTACTGCACAGGTAGCGCAATACCCTCTTCGCTGCAGCCATGTGCTCTGGTCGGTGTCTCCCAGGAGCAACATAGCGTGCAAGAATGCTAAGAGGGTATGCAAGGTCAGGTCGTGTGCAGGTCATCAGGTACATGAGGCAGCCAACAAGCTCTGGGTACAGGCCACTCGACTCTACGGACTCATCCGAAGGCAGAGCTGAGAGCGAGTGGCGAGTAGATAGAGGAGTGGCCTGAGGCAAGGAGTACGTGAAGCCGAAGCGCTGAAGGACCTGCTGCACCATGTGTGACTGAGTCAAGGTAATGGTGCGGCGTGCTCTGTCCCGGGTGATCTGCAAGCCAAGGTAGCTGCGCAGTTCACCCACGTCTGTGCACGTGTGTCTCTTCAGCAGCTCGGACTTCACGTAGGCGAGTCCAGCAGTGTCCGCTGTGGCAAAGACCAAGTCGTCGACGTACACGAGGATGTAGAACGGCGGCAGTGAAGTGTCGGTGCGCAGAAACAGCGACGGGTCAGCAGTAGAAGGAGCAAACCTAAGAGCTGCAAGCGTAGTCCTCAGTGTGTCGTGCCACTCACGCGGTGCCTGGCGGAGACCGTAGACTGGCCCTCG